AACTGATCTTGCCATGGACTGCTTAGCTTCCGCGACCCCAGTCCACGCCTTCCAGGATTCTGATGATCGCTCCACTTGATCTTTGCGCCTATGGGAAATGTTCGTGCCTTTCTGAACGGTGGCCAAGTTTTCTTGAGCTTTCCTCGTTTTCTCTCCTAAATCCTTCGGAGACAAGCATGTTAACTGAAGGTGCGGATGTCCACCGTATATCAGCTTGAAGGGGGACTTACCTGTGGTTGACTGCATGAAAGCACGATGAGCTAGCAACACCATCGGCAGGTTCACTTCCCAATGACCTTTGGCTGCCAGCCACTCCTTGATCATTCGGTTATTACGTTCGATTAGACCATTTGTTTGCGGGTGGTGTGGCGCCGTCCCTAGCAATCTGATGCCCAGCTTTTGCAAGCGAATCCTAAGCTCATCGCTCTCAAAGCAAGACCCCTGATCGGTTAGGTTGGCTACGTTGTGATGCATTACCACTCCGCTGATCGTCGTCACCCATTGATTTGACGCGGCTGCCGCCTCGACCCACTGCGACGGAAGTTCTGTCATCATCACGAAATATTGGTTTTCGCTGGTCGTCATTGGGAAGGAAACGATACCAGCTTCACTCAGACTCAGCCGATTGAAGTGAATCTGGAACGTTTCCAATTTCTTGCCTCCCTCTAACCTCTCAATATTCCTTTGATAAAAAAGATGACTGTGACCTTTCGTAATACAGGATCCTGCCACTGTATTTGCATCAACCTTCGACGATGAGGGTATTGGCACCAATCCTAATCATGGAGGCCTCATATTCAGCCCTTGGTCTTGACTGCCAATCAGCCGGACGGTTCTTCTTGCTTGACACGTGCCAGATTATGAAGTATGCTTGCAAGTGTTCAGCGCAAGTGTTTTTCGCGAGGATCCCAGGTGGTTCTGATCCACACCACGTATTTGTGGTCGGTTTCCACATGAAATCCTCGTCCAGTCAGATATGGCCTCCACTTATTCAGCGCCCAGACGACCGCTAACCGTTCCCAGTGGTCGAGTACTTCTGTTCAGCGTTAGTCAGGACACGGCTGGTGTATTCGATAACCCCATTCCTCTGCTTTAGGACTGTGCCGAAACCGCGATCACTAGCACCCGTTGCAACAGTGAACATCTCTCCGACCCTGGGCAAATTGAGGGTCAGTTGCTGATCCAACATCCGCGCTTTGACACGCTCAAAAGCTTCATGTGCTTCCATGGTCTATTCAAATTTCCGTTTTCGCCCGAGCAAGTCGTACAGTGGAGCAGTGGTCTTGTTGAAGTACTTGCTATACCGGCTGTGTTATGCTGCTTGTCCAAGAAGCTGCTTTTGGGTTCATTTAGCATCGGGAACATCACAGTCCTCGATCTTTGCCAGTTTTTCTGACAGTGGGCTAACATCTACGTGACCCACTTTATGCTCAAGCTGTGTCACCTAACTCCGAGCGAGCTGTGTCTTGGCTTCATTTATCCGCAGGACAGCCTCCTACATGCTCTTCGATATGCCCTTAGAGTGAACCGTCTTCTCTGGTCTCGGACTGCTGTACATATGGCTACATTCTGGAATCCCTTCGATAGACGGAGCATCAAAAGCCGGAATGTGAATGGTGCCCCAAACAGACCAAGCGGCATTCGTCTAAATTGATACTGGGTGTCCTCAACCGTAAACGCTATTTTCTTCCGGTCCTCCGCCTTGATAGATAGTTGCCAGTATCCGGAACGCAAGTCGAACACGGTGAATCGGGAATGCTGAATGGAACCGATAATCTCCGCAACCGAAAGAACAGCTACTACCCGATTTACGATCAGTTCATCCAAACGCCAGAAATCCACGCAAGACCGGTATTTTCCGTTTGTTTTCAGTACAACACTCCGTCCAGTTCCGGCAAGGTCCGATCCGACGACTGCTACAGGCTGGAGAAGAACACGGTTAGGTCATACCTAGATACCATCCTGACCGTCTTAAACCGACTCACAGCCCCCTGGCGGTCGACCGGCTTGTCGAACTCCGCTGAAAGAGGTTACGTCGCGGCGGCCCATCTTCCGGGAGCCATTCTGGCCGCATCCAGGGCCGCTTTCTCCCGGCCTCTGAGGAGTGCCTTCAGCGCCACCAACTATCCCGGCGGGTCTCCAGTTCTGCAACCTCAGCAATCACTTCGAAGTCCTCCTAGAAGGTCCAAACATACCCATTCTCAAACGTCTGTGGCCATGGGATCCTCATTTTTATCCCGGTCACGGCACCAAATGATAGGAAGGTCTTTACTGCGGAGTTGTTTAGTGGAAAACACCAAATGAACAGTTACAACCTACAGGACAGAAAAGCAAAACTCTCGTATGCATCTTGTTTATAAAAAACTGAGTATCCGTCTTCTGCTCGAACGCGTCTTCCTGAACTCTCCTGGATACTCATTGACTATCGCTCGATTGTAAACGAATGCTACAAAGCCATTCCACAAATTCCGTAATAAATCTCACTTTTCAATAGACGCGAAGCGGATTGACGAGAAAACCACGTACTACTCGAGTGCCTCATCAGTAGCATCCAGCTTCACACCAGTTGCCAGTTTCCACACGGTCTTGCTGATACCAGGGCTGGTTTGCATTTGGTGGCATCCCGATAGCACAGAGTGTGGCGGTTAGAGACCAATAACGTTCGGAACATAACTGAAAATGTCGCATTTCGTTATCGGTTATTGTCAATCGCAAGTCATCTGCCAAGATGGTATTTCGCGGATCCCGAAATCAAGATGTGCGTAAATTTGCTGTCTAAAGTAATCATAATAAATCTAGACAGAAGCCATCGTTTTCACATTCAGAGTTGTCATCTTTCAGAGAGTATGCTTACGCGATAGCGAAAATCTGTTCACCGCGTTGATTTGTATTAGCCTTATTTGAGCTATTCAAACAAACAGCGTAGAGGCAATTATTAAATGTAATCTACTCCAGCAAAAGCCCCAAGCCAAGCACAACCGTAGATGGCACAACCCCCGTAGATACCAAGAATCACTGCATCGGGATTACTGGATATCTGTAGAGTGAAGTGCGAGAAACCTAGGTTCGTCCCTGGCGGTCTGAGATGTACGAGGAAACCAGGTCCACGGTTCCCGTGATAAAGAACGGGTTAAGTTAAGGTACCTTGACCTAATCATTTGACTCAGTATTCTAACCCACAAAGTACTAGGAAGATGAGAAATATTATTTTGGAACTTCTTCTTTAGCCTCTGACTCAGCGATGCAGGAGTTTTCAGGGCTATTTGGAGAAGCCTTTTTGGGAACTACTGACTCAATGGTACGACGCAAATGTTTGGCCTGTCTATGCCTAGATGTCTGACTCTGGACGCTGCTACGCACACAGATGCGCTTGAAGCCGTAACGCTTTTATGGAGGGGCTTCTTTGCTTTTCATCCATAATGGGTAATACTTCGCCCTAAATGTCAACCATTAAGCGGTCTGAATGTGTGGTTTTCAAGGTCGCCATTTTTAACCCTTGTTTCCTCGGGGAAAGATACGTTCCCTGCTTCCAAATATACGAAAAAGCTAGTCGCATGAAGGCAATGCCCTATCACCTTCACATTCCTACCGCAATTGACAGCTTTGTAATACAACTAATCGCAGCCCGGTACTCGCCATTAGTCGAGCTGCTCCACTTTCCCCATCTTGCATATATCCACCTTAAGAAACAATTACGGATGGCGTGTCCTGCAGCATCGGGGCCTAATCATCACTATAAGGCATCAGCTTTGAGTCTGGGCTCTCAGAAGTGTTTCTGCTACGTTCGGTAGTCAGAGGTCATTAGAATAAGTAGTTTTATGCTGACTATGATCGCGAGTTCTGCAAGGGGCCTTTGAAGCCCTTCTTTTGCTCTCGTCTTTCCAATGTTCTTTTTTCCTTTATGTCCTTTGCCCTTCGTCCTGTTGGAAACCAGTTTGTGCCAGCATTCTGGGGGGACGCTGTTCATAATTATGTGGATCGAGGTTTTGGCTTGCTGCTAAAAGCCCTGGCGACGCATTATTGTTCGTTAGAGCCGTCACCGTCCAAAGGCATTCGCTGATTTTGCTTTTTTGATTTTTTTTTAGACTGCAGGGGAAGGTTTGGCTATTGAGCTACCCCTGCATGATCCTAGTTTTTCCGGCCAAACATCAGGGCACTGTGTTTGGTGAGGCTTTCATACGAACTAATGCAGTGACTAATACAGTCATGGTTGCTCCAGCTTCCTCCTCGCATTGAATATCAGCTCATTTGTAGTCAGCGTCGTTAACCCAACAGACATCCAATTTTCAGGTCCAAAGTTGTAAGTTAGATGACCTAAGCCCTCGGGGTAACGAATATCGACTGCATCACCCTGACGGTTCTTGGGGAAGAGGAGGTGGCAGAAATTACCTACTTTCACTACAGGGATCACGTGCGCTAGAATGAAAGCTGTATTCTAGAGTAACGTTCGGTAAGATCAATGTCTTCAGGAATACAAGCAGCCTCAACTTCCGTCGTACGAGCAAAGATTTACGATCGTTTTTGGTCAAGGGAGGGTTGGCGTCGTGCTTCCACCCGAACGGTAACGTGCTCAAGTTTTCACCTCTCTCTCGTGCTATCTTCAAAAATACGCTTGATTTTGGACGGAAATTTAGGATAATCGTATACTACCTCAGGGTTCTCAGAGAGGTTGATTACCCTTTTTGGCAACTAACGCATCTAAGAAGGAATGCGCCAGATACTCGTCCAGTAAAGAAAGCTACTTGTCGAATTTTATTTAACCGGCTTTTGACTTTGTGTTTGCATCTCCAGAAGCCAATGGAAAAGAAGATCCACCCTCAGCGCGATCTGGTAAATCCAAAAATATATAATTGGCAGCTAGGTATGGGATGATAATATATTGAAATATATACAAAGGGATCCCCGAATCAGAGTCAAGAAATTTCACTTACTTTCCAAGCACAAATGGCGTACTCCCTCTTGATACTTGAGACTAACTTCACTAGGTTTTTGGGTTACAGTACGAGAAAGTGCAAGCTCCTCTTTTCTATTATGACAATTTTAGTGCTCAGTCCAGCGAAAAAAATTATAAATCTTTCGTTCCAGATGGTTACAATGGCAATGTTAAGGCGTTTTCACTTGATACGTGTCAAAGCGATCCGTGTGATATAATCAAAAATAGAACTATAAGATTCAAAATGGAGTTTGTTACAAGTAAGTTCACCTTCCGAATGCGTAAATTGATGGAAATATCGATATATACACATTAAATATAAACACATATATTTATCATATTTTCTTCAAAGGGGACGCAAAAGTAAGCTGATAACTTCTATAACAACTCGAAATATTTTTCAAATTTACAGTATAACAGGCTACGCGGGAATGAATATGCAGAAAAGACGTGCAGATCTGTACACTTGGTTCCTCGTCGTTAGGAATCAGCAGGAGCCCTTACCTACTAACCACTAGGTCGCAAGCTCTAGCAAGATGAGTGAGATCGAGTCAGATACGTATCTCCAAAACAGGAATAGAATGGATGTACGGCGATTTATGATTTTTCGGTCAAGCGCGATATCAGCCAGGAAGAAATCTTGATTTCAATCCCCAAATCTCTTTATTCTGCCCACTTTTCGTTTCTTTCTTCCTTAGTTGGAAACAGTGGGTACTAATATCTTTCGAAACAATAAGATCATGTGTTATCCACTCAGCAGCCTTCAGTGTAATCTAGTTTTGTGGCCAGTTTCCAATCAAATGCGAGTACAACGTCAGGAAATTACATTGAACGGTCATTAAACAGCTCACCACCATGGGCTGTTCTCGAGACGCAGATATCATCTCATTCGCCACTTGAATTTCTACGGGAAAGCCTGTATATAATCGGATTCACGCATTGGTCAGAGAGCACCGTGATATAAAATTCACTTTGCCAATGTTTCCTGCTGTCGTATTCTCTGTCACTCTTCATATGTTTGTCCTAGACAGGTGGATCCACATCTTCACTTAACTGGTGCTAGCCACTCCATTCCAGCCATTTCACTCTCATAGACGAAGGTAAATCACGTACTTACGGAATGTACGGTAGCTCTGAACCACGGCATTTTGCAAAACCGAGTGCGCGAGTTGCATTTCTTCTAAGGCTTTAGTTCCCAAAGCCAAAAGGAGTTGCTCAAACCATCATCAAAGGTAGATTATCCCGCACGTATGAACCTGTTATCTGCAGTTGAAAGGGTAAACGTCCATGTTCAACTTTGTAGTGACTTCTATACACACCAACACCAGTCTGCCCAGAAGGTTTTCGGAAAAGTAACCGAAAGCATAGTTTCCTCGGAAAAAATGGTTTTTTGAAAGCCTCTCTATAGTTTTCAGTGGGAGGGAGGCTGATGCTTAATATACGGGAGACAGTCATATCACAACAGATTGTTATCCATCATCAAATGAGCACAGATAATTTTCCATAGGTTGATGAATCCCTTTTTACAGTTTGTTGGATGGATTAAATTGTTATCCGAAAGGCACAATCCGGAATGAAACGCGGTTGCTGCGCAGATTACGTGTTCAGTCATCGATGTCAAATTTACTACTGCATGAAACCAACGTCTTGTAGTGTTTACAGCAGGCAATACAGACTGACCAGCCAAAAGAAAGCAGCAACATACGCGCTAAGTTTCCTTTAACCTCAGGTTTAATTAGAGATTATTTCGGACGTACAATGAAAACTTGCGACAACTAATTCCACCAGCCCCAGAAAAACCGGTATCGCTTGGATTCGGATGACTGGGGAAAATTATGAACGCTGAGGTTAAAGCACTCTAATGACTTTTTGCCTGAATCCACCGATTGTTGATTGCAGTGGCTAGCGATAAGGCAAGTCACCTGAACCTATTGATTATACCCACTTACATTTCTCCACCTTAGAGGATGCAGCAGGGAGTTCTGAGTAAACCTTTTATCCATTTATCGCTAAGTCTGAAATGTGGGATTACGACCGACTATCATTTAGAAACTAGGTTGGTTCTGACGGAAGGTTTACTGGACTTCTAGCTGAATGATTGGTTTCTGATACCCTTCAAACGATGTTTATTTACAGTGGTCACGTCATGTTTCGCCGAATGCACTACTCGAGATATCGAAGTATTTGTTTTTCCTTAGCATAATGCATCACTTATAAGGTTGCTATAAACCTTTTATGCAGGACATTCAGTGGGATTCAGCTTCATTTTCTTAACACCAAATTAATTTGAAAATTTTCTGGAATTCAGAATAGTGGACTTTACAGCCAGTTCATCTGCAGAGTGAATTCTTACCTTGGAATTATACTCCCCAACTGACGCTTCTGACACTTAAGGAGTTGGACAATACCGTAAGGATGATAATGGCACGATATATATTTATGTTCTACAACTTTCTCGGTTGCAGTAAGCTTAAAACGACATTGGACGAAGATAAACTGCATGGATATTTGAATCGCTTATGTGGAACGACTTCGTAGAATGGCCATTAACCAAATCTACGAGTCTCGGAATAAACCTTAATTATTTCTAAACGGACGCCTGATTCAGTAGTGCATGAAGCAACTTTAGTTTATCGGATCAACTGATTCATAATACGACCTTCTTTGGACAGTATTTCTCCTCTCGGTTAGGGTCTCGTGATTGACGACTTGACATCTGGCAAGCTGAAAGTAAATTGGAGTCAGATGGTATTGGACGAAGTCGTTTTTGGTGATGCGCAAAATTGCAAAATTCAGTCAGAACCAGCAACGAATCAGCGGAATTCCTGGTTGAAAAGACCCATGTTTCTTATATTGACCAGCAGCAGTGATACACCTACGTGTATTGTTTGTGTCGCAGTACATTTTCAGAAAATGGCCCCACCGAACTGGTTAGCTAAAAGATAACCAGGTGTCTTCACCAATTGATTTGAGCTATCTCTCTGTGGGCTTTCCGGAGTAATTTTCAATGAAACTGTCTAGGTGGTTTTCTGACAGCAGTACACTTTTGAGGAAATCAGTTTCCTCGGAAGGCCCATTTGGAGTGCAGATTGCTCTGGCTTTTTGGAGTAGAGTTTTGACCTAAACATATTTGTGATACAAGAGACAGAGCATCGTAAATATGGTGCTCCATTTAGTTTAAGTAGGGCTTCCGTAGACATTGCTAGACAAAGTACCAGTGGTATACCAGGACATTAAATCGTTCAAGAAAGGAGGCTTGTTTTCTATTCCAAAGACGTAAGCAAAAGTGAATTTCTGAATCAATTCAAATCTGAGAGCAAACGTTTAGCTTCCTTTTACGAGTGCCATGCTTCTTAAATATCGTTTGAACAAACACAATAGTCGAATATTACATTCTGTCAAATTTCTAAGTTACGCCATGTTGGTTTCTGCCCAAGTCCGTTGAAAGAGTCCTCACTCTAGTATCGTCAGTTCATCTATGACGGATACCTAAAAGAGGAATTTGCTATTCTAGGTACGGAGTAAAATTATGACACAATGGACTAGCTTAACCGGACCCTGGAGGTTTTTGTCACTAGGAAGCACTACTTTGCATCAAATGGGCATTCTGTTGCCGAGACATTCCTGTGTGCATAAAGTGGGGTGGAAAATTAAGGTACGCTTCAAATTGCCGTCTGTAAGTGCTGATCAAAACGTTTTAAGTGTATATGTCGGGCATTCAACCAACTAGTGATAACGTGGACAGTTCATGACCAAAATAGGATCAAAGGTTCATACGGTTCGAATTTAAGAGGAAAACCATACAATTGGAACAAACTCAGTCGAAGATTATCAGTATGCTGAATTCAGATTGTTGGGTAAGGCCATGTAGTAAACGAGTAGGTAACTATCGAACAAGTTTCTTACCCATCAAAAGCATTACCATACTGTTTATCGGGCATATTAGCAAAAGTGCAGTTGTAATTGGACACCCCGTTTAGAATAACAAAGCGGAGTCATTCGCCTTTTTAATTGTTGCGCTTTCCGTGCTTTTCTAGCTTGCATAATGCTTTCTAACGCTGTTTCAGTAAGGTATACATTGGCAACGGACACAACCAGTCACTGGAAAAAATGAGTTCAACGTTAAACCAACCATCTTTCTCAACCTGACTCAAGTTGAGTTTCGCAGTTTTTCTTCTATCTTCCTGGACTAGATTTTAGGAGTGAGTCCAGGTAGTAGTGATGCTGGGGATAACAAGCTAGACCAACCTTGCATGCATTATTAGCGCTCCTCCCCACTTCACCTAGAGAACTGCCAGTATTCAGTGTATCTTGGTCTTTTCGATAGACTCAACAGTTGATTAACTCTGGTGTTGCAGTGGTTGGTAAAGCTAATATGATATTCAATAAGCTATCCGAAGGATTTACGTCTTAATCATTGATTTAACACAATCGGGTGAATAGTCGTTTTCGAGGTTCTTCATGGTTATTAACTACTATTTATTATTTTCTACTTATTTTCTACTAAGATCCCTAAAATCGTGGTAATTTTAATGGTTCGTTCGAATGGATCTGCCATATTATGCTACAGGTAAAATTTCGAACTGTGCTGTTTCAAGTGAAGAACGAGACGTGTAATCTAGCTTTCAATTTAGGTTGAACACATTAACTGATGTCAATTGAAATGGTTATCATCAATCGTTTGAAACTTAAACTAGACTCCGTGGATTTGAGAGTGACGCTCAATCAGGAAGGTGAAACTCTGGAGTTCTCCATCTGTTGATACCAATGAAGCTCGATATAGCCCTAACTGTGACAATCATGGTTGATAGCATGGTTGAAATAGTAAATAGACAAACGAAAACACTCCCGAAACAATATTATTTTGAGTAGCTCCATAATTTAGTACAGTATAATATAACGTGGTAGCGTAGAGGACGTTACGTTGTGGCGTAATTTGGTATAATATGGTAATACATGGTATTTTATAGTATAGGCTAGTATGAGAAGTATGGTACAGTAAAATATAGCACCGTAGAGTATGGTAGAGTAGGATATAGCATAATGGAACATAATAAAGCGTATCATAGTTCAGTACTCTGTGCTGCAGGCATCAACCATGCGTTAGTGGGATTAATGGCGATGCATTTTAACAAAGTTTGCCATGTCAGAAGTCAACTGACACTATTGGTAACACACACAATTAGATCCTTAAGATAGAGCGGCAAATGAAACATCAAACATGTTCCTCCAAGAAACTGAAGACACAATTCCTAGCATTCAGAGTGCACCGCTACTGGCGCAACATAACCTGCACATTTGAAGATTGCTGCATGAGGAGAATGCCAGGCGAACATGAAGTGGCCATTGAGCAATATGTCATAGTAGGCTTGAAGTTCACGGAAGTTTCTGCCGGATTCTTTTATCTATATGAATATGTGGGGATGATGGAGTAGGAAATACAGGCAGCAAGACTTCCAACTTTACAGAACTCTCATCTGAGTAATGTGCTCCAGCGAGGCCGATGTTATTTGATGTTGTCTGACTTCTATAATTCTTAAGCCCTATCTAGTCTACATTCAGGATTCCGTAAAACTGTCATCAAAGCATCATTTCTTGGGTTTTCCTTGGCAAATGTTGAACATGACTTCTGACATTATGGCTTGAATCGGAACTTGGAATCAACGTTGTGGGAACTTCATTTAATGCCACTCATTGTCACCTCATCTCTTTATACAACTGGAATATGTGGCCTGTCACTTCAAAACAAGGTTGAAACACTACACTACAGTAGGTCTCAACAAAGAACGTGAATGAAGTTATGACAGTATTTAATAGTATATGTTACCGGTGGTGCGTTCAAGAGCCATACGATTCCTAGCAGCAAAACTTGCATCATTAGTAAGGTCAGGCTGGAAATCGCAAATAGCCTTAGGTCACAAGTCGCGTCGGCAGGTCACTGGTTTCCTGGTAGTAGCGCCAAATTAGCTAAATAAAGCCTGTTGAGCATTTTGACATCTCCCTTTAAACAAACTGCAAGCCTGTCAAGTTTTCAAAAACCAAAACAAATTTCCAAATTTTCGGCATCTGAATGCAGAGATCTGACAAAGGCAGGTTGCAATGGACCGTTAGGGTTGTCCATTAGGAGAACGTCGTAATTAAGCGCCCAGCCATGATGAATTCCATTTGAATACAACTGTAACTCCTTAATTGTGAAAAAATAACGCTCTCCTCGAAAAAGAGCGATTTTTATATGCATATATATAACATGAAACTACCAAATCGACCGTATTTCTACTTGCATATTGTTGAACTTACTTCAAGATAATTTCCGCACTTTGATGGGTAAACGTTTTGACGAACTAGGTTGCTCTGGTCACCATTTGGGAGACTCACTTTTTCATCTGTATACATGCAGTTTTGTCGATTGCTCAAATCTGGAACTGATGTACAATCCTTCCCCAGAACGATCGAAGGTTGCTAATAAACGCAAGGTAGTCCGCTGCACTTATCTGGAATTTTCATTGGACAGAAGAAAAACTGATGACAAAATTCCAAGGAATTTATACTTTCATCCTCCATTTTCAGTGAAGGATTTCAAGGAGGTCATACTATGGAGGGCTAAATGGTTTCCTGTTTTTTTCTTTGGTCATGCAAGGACGTGGAAGAAGTTTTCAGATGTTTGTAAAGACACAAAACCAGCCTGTCCCATCAAAGCTCATGTCCCGCATACAGTTGATGTGGCGATAAAACCGTTGGAGTATGGGGTGAGTGAAAAAGATGTTGCATTGTGAGACGGTATAACGTACCTTTACCTACTTCTTCCCAACTATACATTTAGGGAAATATAAACCTTACTAATCGCCTAATTCAAAGAACGCTAGTTCTTGAACACCTCTACGTAGGTCGAACACAACGGACAGAATAATCTTTTGGAAACGATAGGTATAATTAAGGTTATCATTGGGTCTCCAATCAGTTTACGTGGCCCAAAGATCGAAAGCGAGGCACACAGTCGCCTTTCAAACTACGGGGCATGTTAAAGAAGTAAAATCTTAACCGACTCAGAAAGTGCTCGCACAGTAAAGTCTATGCACCAGGCGTAGGATTCTCAGCATACCCCGCCAGGAGTGATACGTGGAAGGGGTAGTTGGATAGGTGAAAGGTACAAATGGCAAGCAGATACAACCCGTTCTCTGTCATTCCACAAGTTTTTAGGATAACCACAGCGTTATCCTCTTTCCTAATGCGCCGTATCATTCCCACCTAAAAATCCACCCGATTAAGAATAGTTACAATCAACCATGAGCCACTTAACCGCCAGTATATACTACTGGTATAATGCTGTCTATGACGTTAGTGACGACAAATAAATTCCCCAGTGGACGTTAACTGCGTAACACTTCGCTAAATGTTTTGATTTTCATACCAACTTATTTTCCACGAGAGTCTTGATCGATGACACCCAAAAAAGATTAAGCGAGTTGTGGACCGTCGCAGAGCTTTTAGCGACCTTATGAGTAGTGTGTTACGTATAGACTCCGCAACATTTCACCTGAGTTTTCAAGTGAGCAGATGCTACTGAGGTACACAGAGAATCAGCACAATAACAGACTTGCAGAAACGGTCAGCTCATGTAGTACGATCCGAACAGTTTCACAATTCTCAGACAAAATAATGACGTCATACAGGGCTCAGATCGGGGTAAGAGAAGACTCATGCGAACCGAACTTCCATTAATCCTCCCCCAAGGTGACATGCCATACAAGTCTATGGTGACCTTTACGTCTGAAGAGTTTGCCTGACCCCCCAGAATGCAAAGATAACTTACTGCATTTGCATTCTTAGAAAGCAAATGCCAAAAATGAGTCACCTCTCTCGCGATGTAGCAGACATGTTTTGATGCTGTACACTTCCACATTGACCTACACTCAAAGAAGCTAGCTGTACTATTTTGCACCATAGTCTATTACTCTACACTGTACAGTATTAACCCATTATGCACCACCAATTCAATGGCGAGAGACAGGCACGACAGTAAACTGGACCGAATCATGCTAGGTAGCCAAATATATGCACTATTTCATGGCACAATATTTTATCTTGTGCTCGAATACAGCTCTATTCCCATGTATGTATATACGTATACCTAGGTTTTGTAACCTAAATGGTTGACGTTTTCCCAAAACGACCAACAACATTAGGATTCATAAAAATCAATCCGGCACAGAATGCCACCTTTCTGTAGCACAGACTGAGTGGCAAGTTCATTCGTCGACTGGCAAGCACATTCATCAGGAAACTGCAGTTTTCTACTAAACTTCGCTCGACAGTGTTGGGTTCTGGTACCTAAGCGTCATCAGACTAACGAAAAAAAACTCGAAATCAGACCATTTTTCAACGTAAACAGCCAACCAATCACCAATATATCTTTTACCGAACAAAGAAAGTTAATTCCAAGTGAACCCGAAATTTCTTGTAAAGTGGTGCGGAAGACCGATGGTTTCGCTGAAGGGACAGTGGGGAAAACAGATGAATCTAGGGGTGGGTTAGGTAGTGGTCTTATTCTTCAGGCTTATGGACATTTCAGTTGATGATTACGCCAGGGCTTATTCAGTAAGTACTGTGGCTAAGTTGGATAAAACACATGAAGATTGGTTGGACAGGCCTTCTTTTTAGCGCCGAGCCACATGTCAGTCAGCCTATCTAAAATTGTCCTCGCTTAGACGCTGCGTCCTGTTTTCACCGAAGAGCGGCTCGATTACTGTTTCGTGGTCCATCAGTCGCTACTATATGAGTATCAGTATTTGCACTAGAACCTACATTTCCAAAATCCTGTACAGGTTCTGCCATGCAGTCGACGAATCATCCTTATTTCTGAGCTGGAATTTTACTTTCGTTTACTAGATATGTGCTGCCATTTCTCAGATATTCTTCCTTATTCATTTTGTGTGCACAAGCCCCTTTTTTGTCAGCCGGGAGGTTACCTTTATACTAATGATACCCGCATTTAGCACCATTCGAAAGACTTCGGTGTCCCGTTATGTGTGCGGTGACAGATGTTCAAAAACACTCCTTGTGTAGTTTGCTACTGATGGCATTCCCCTACTCATTTTCGGTTTCACTTAAACACGGGGCGTCTGCATTATTGTCACTGTCTTGTTACCCTTGAAAATGAGTCCGATCTGGTTGGTCAATCTAGCAAGAACAAAGCCTCGGAATAGCATATACAAGCCGTACTGGCTATCAGCTTTACTCACAGAACAAAGATGATTGATAAACTACATTATTCACTTACCAATATCTCAAGGTAGTACGCAGCTTTCTCAGAGGCACATGGAACCCTGTTTGTAATGGTTGCTAGCAGAATCGCACTGCGGAACAGACGTAACTCAGGAATTCTAGACAATACTCAGTAATCATCAAATAAAACTGATTCCAAGTTTTTTTCACACGTCTTTGAAGAAAAAGTGTTTAAGAAAGCCAGTGATAAGGGCCCATTTTTGTGATAGAGCATTGGTGTTCTGTTGTTTTCTCCACGAACTGTGTTGGGACCGGTAAATGCACAATGAAGCGCCATCCCAGCACCACCAAGTTGAAATAGAGATCAAATATACTGGTGGGAAACTTAAATCTACTTGTGCACCCATCCTTCTCTCGTTCCAAAGATACAGCTTTCGAATAAGGCACAAATCTTCCTCTCAAACTGGCCCGTAATTCCAGATATAGTTAGTGGATCTGTTCGAGTGGCTTTCGACTGTTGTCCTAGGAGGAGAATATGTCAGTGTGTAGAGGAGAGGTTGTTTCAAACAATAACTAAGGAACCAAATTTGATGGATATTGTTTGGAGCTGAGAAATGCTAACCAATTTTGCGGATAATGACAGTATCTCTGACACTTGAAAGCTCGTTTTGTATTGTTCTCTTAAACACTAAATTTTCGGCTCGTTGTCCCATGGGCTGACGTAAGTGAACTGTAAGTTTTCGGTCCCAGTGAGCTCGTAATTCATTGCATAATGATGTGATCAAACGAGTATCTTAAACTTCACAGATGTATTTGAGAGTTCTGGTCCCATTTACTGGTTTGTGCAGAGAATATGATTGTGACCCACGAGATTTTGGTAAATATAGGACTGGTAGGAAGCATCAGAAGTATCGCATAAATCATATGAACCAATAGGGATATAGATTTAATACCATTTAGAAATCTATTTATTCCTCTTTTTGTCATGCTTGCGGTGAAAATGAGGTTTCCACTAAAATCCAATGCGCAGGGACGATGAAGCAATGTGTGATATAGTTGCAGCTGACTTTGGTCTTCTTTACAAAAGGCAGTTCTCTAAGGTGGTGGAGAGAACGTGAATAGGTGGGTGTACCTCAAAATGAATGAGAAGTTAGGCACGTAATATGTCCACAAAAGTATATGTAAAGTACCTAAGGACCACGTGGCCCTAATGCGGCTGCATTACTTAATGACACGTACAGTTATATTTCTGAAGCAGCGGTCAAACTAAATCCTCATAGAAGCCACAAGATAATTAGCGGGAAGTTACATCGTTCTATATGCCCACAAGTCGGAGACACAAGTTTTCCGGTTCTTTACGATTAACATAAATAGAGACAACAGTACAAAAGAACATACATCCGCGCAGTGGATGCAGTTAAATGGTGTGCTCCGGGACCATCACTACTGCATACAGTGAATCGGCCTGTGTAATACTCAAAATGGCACCCATAAACGCTAAATCTACGTCAAAAGTCGCACAGCACACCGCAACCTGCCAACATTTATAAGCTGGTTAGCCTTCGATGGTGCAAACTTATCATTCGCTTATTGCTTGGACAGATGAAAATCTTACAGTCGGACTCAAGTGATAGGTAAACCACTGATGTAATTAGAGTAGAGTAATCAACAGTCACGCGTCGAATGTGCTGAATTTAGAGTGTGGAATTCCTTAAACTTTTAAGTAGATTAGATAGTACCCAACATCACTGGGTTGAGCAGCCATTTCTTCTGTCTGAATAATTTGAGTTCGCCTTGTTTAAGTCAACCAATTCTGAAAGTGTGAATCTAATCAACAAATATAAGTTCTTGCGTAACAATTTGTTTTCTATGACTGACCCCCATGAATCCAAGCTAAATATCATAAACGAGAGGTTCAGGTGGGACTCAGGTAGATCTCTCTTAAAAACCGAATTGATATGCAAGTGATTGTTTGCCGGACGTCATGCAATTGACAACGAGAACACGTAGCTGCGCCTACCTATTGAGCCACAAGAACGACGAAACATATCGTGGGTCGTAGAAGATTTTCGGAACTTTTTGAATAGTTTACTTGATTGATCAAGTAATTTTATTCCGACTGGGAGAGACAAAAACTTGCGCCCGTGAAATGCAAAGGGTTAACACTTAATTACAATCCATTGTCCACGTGCATTCTCACCGAGTGCAATGACCTGTGAGCTGTAGGCCCAGGGCGTGTCCATAGACTGAAATGCCTTTAGCTGGTTTGTTCCTCCAGAATTTATGCTGTTACCAAAATACCTCCGATTCTACATACATAGGTAATTCTTTCAGTGAGCATTGGTCTGTTGTTCGAGATTGAGTACCACTAGTTCATGGCAGGAAATGACAGTAAATTTACGATTGCTTAGTAGACCATTAAAATGGGAGCTGGCCAACATCTGTCAAAAATTAGTTCGTCCTGCGTTGAGAACACTTAAGTATTAACGGACAAACACTTGCATAGACGATGTCCCATATTGCAAAATAGGAAGACTTTCAGGTTTCTGTGTTTATGAACCCAAATGAAGGAGCTAATAATGTTTGTGTGCAGCAGTTGCGTAGCAAGGGCTGCATCTGAAGATGGCTCCTTTAAGAACCGGTAGCACATTAGGTCAGAAACGAAGAACTGTGAATTTGTATACTCTTCACAAGGGTGAGAGTTCCTGTAGAATGAGTGGACGGGCTTTGCCATGCCTAAGAAGGCTGTTGGAAATGAACTGGGGGACTTAAAAGACGAATTGTTCTAAGGATATCGATACATGACGTAAATTCCTTCATCGCAATCTACTGAGAAACGTATGCAAAGACTTTTTTGCCCGATTTAAGTCAGGTTTCGAGCAGGACCGATAAACGTATAATTCCCGAAAGAATATGTATTTGCTGCTGCAGTGTAGCCAGGTACGCTTTTTTAGAGAGATGTTGATAGGTTGGATAAATGAACGTTTAGTACATCTATTTCATGTCGAAAGGACCCATCTCTTTTGAGATTATAAAGCCTCTCTTGAGTAATTCCCCCAGTATCCATGCTTTCCCACTTGTCTTTGTTGCCCACCCCGCTTAACCGATTCCACATTGCTGACAACACTTTGATGCTTCCTATTTATCAGCAGTCTGCAGAATCAAGTTTCCCTGTGATATTACGATACTACGGTGACCCTTCTGATCGTTACGTATGTGGGTGGCCCACCCCCACGCAACAATTCCTATAGCCTGTTCAGAAAATTATGCCAACTCGAAACTAATTGTAAAGACTCTTACAGGAAATTATTGCGAATAAATTTACTAGCCAACAGATGATCTTAATGCACAGTATGTGTTTGTTTACAGTTTGAGTGTGAGGTATAGTTCAGCCATCCACACCGTCTTCCAATGCGTTTGGTTGAAAAGGACTATCGAAGATTCCTCGGACTACTGAGATGTATTTGAAACTTTACACATGTGTGCATACCATATTA